CCACAGACCCCAGAGATTTGGGGGAGATCCCGGGACCTCAGGGATCCTAGTAAGCAGAGACGGCCCCCACGGGAACAAGGTGCCCTTCCCCCGCATGGATGCAGCCCCAAGGTGGGATGCAGAGTTTGGGGATGGGAGTGTAGGCTGGGCCTGGCCATCTGTCCCAGCCCACGGTGGTATCAGCAGGTGAAGGAAATTGGTCTGGTTTCCATCTGGCCAGGGGCCAGGCTCACCTGACAGGGGTCCAGGGAAAATAAGTCCGTGGAGCCACAGTGCCCTAGAGATGGACAACGCCCTCCACAGCTCCTGAGTCCTTGCTTCCCCCTGTCAGCAGTAGGAGCTGCAGGTATCGACTGACTGGTGCTTGCTGGTTAAACACAGGCAGCTCCTAGGCCTTCTGGGGATGGGCAGGCCACCTGTCTGCAGTTGTCTGTCAGTCACATCCTAGGTGGAACTGGCCTGGGTTTCATTCTCAGTGCTCTGGAGGGGAGCTGTGAGTCTGGCTTGCACCAGGGCCATTTTCTTGGTGAAAGGAGCATCGTTAATGGAGGACAGAAGTGCTCACTGGGAAGGTGACACGGCTGGGCCTCGTGCTCCGAGTGGCAGCCCAGTGTGGCCTCAGCATAGGCAGCTGTTTGGGCCAAGGTGCTGCCCTGAGCAAGAGCAGAGGGGATTTTCCCCCATCCCCCAGGCGGTGAGCTGGCGGGGCAACATGGCAGTCTGGTCTCCCCCATCTGGGCTGACTTGGGGGAGCCGGACACAGTGGCTGGTCTCCAGTGAGGCTTTGTAGCCGCCTACCATCTGCCTGAAATGACACGAGGCAAGGCAATCGAATCCCTGCATTTTTAAAATCCAGAAGGAAGGGAAACTCCACCCGGGAAACATAACGCAAGTAACATGTTCGGAAGCAGGATGTTTAATTGTCAAACTTTTCTTGAGACCCAGCTGCCGGGTAATGTTATCTCGGTGGCTCCTGAGACCAGAGGGGAGTTTATCTGGGCCCCCGACGCAGGCTCGGTAAACAGAGCTGGCTTACTTGTGTGACCTCTGCCCTGTGCCCCTTCCTGACACCTGCTCTTTCTCTGCAGTTTATCTCTTAAGTTTCCAGCGCCACTAGGGCCAGCTCAGGGAGACTTGAGAATCTCTGGGGTTGGGTGGGGGGCTAAGAATGGGCTAGGCTGGAATGTTGTGTATCATTGCACATCTGGAGTGATAATCTAGGATTTTCCAGGTTTGGATGAGAGCAGACAAGCTTCCTGCCAAGATGAGGGAATGGGGTCTGGAGACTGTCCTCGTATCTCTGGCTTATCTCCAGGGAGCGCCCTGAGCATTTCCTCAACCCTGGTTTTTGACCGTCCAGAGAGGAGGCTGGGCCTGTAGCACAACCCAGACCTTCGGGAGAACCCAGGAAGAGTGGGGTCTCATTCCCACCGCGCCCCTGACTCATGCTCATGCTATGCAGGGCATAAGTAGGAAGTAAGGTGCAAGGCTTAGCAGGAGGGACCCTTTGCAAAACTGGGAAGGGAGACCTGTTGGGGGAAACCATGGCTGTGTCCTGACCAAGTGGCTGTGCCCTGAAAGGGTCATGCGGAGAGCTCTCTGTCACCCCTGTCCTCTGGCAAGTTCTCTTGCGCATGTGCCATTGGTGTGGGTTCAGGCCAAGGGTAAAACAAAGATGATTCCCTGTGGACTCGGAACTATTTCAAAGAGTAAAGAGCAAAGAACTTTTCCAAGAGGGGCATGTTCTAGTCATACGCAGGACAGTCCGGGGCTGGGAATCAGGAGGTCTGGGTTCCTGCCCAGCTCTGCCACTAGTGGGGGTGATCACACTTCAGTAACAACAGCGCGTGCGTCGGGCCTGGCAGTCCTAAAGGTGGGGGCTGCGGTACAGCGGAGGAAACCAAGGTCTGAGAGGCAGGGCTGAGCTCTCACAGCCAGTAAGAAGGGTGCCTCTGTGACTGGCTCCAGAATTTGTTCCTTCTCATCTGGCCATCCCTTCCCTGGCCCCAAGTCGGGTCCTGGGCCCCAGGCTCCTCCTCTGCCAAGGAGGAAGCCTGTTACCTTGTGTGAGGCTTGGATGCAGTCTCCCGCAGCCCCCGCCCCCATCCCCCCTGAATCCTCCCAGCTACCAGGACCTGTGAGCCTGCGATTAATTCTCCGTGGGAGGCGAAGGGAAGCCCCTAATTACTCCAGCGGATGTATCGCGAGTGTTAAGCCCCAGTTAAGCCTGCCTCTGGGCTCTGCTCCTGCTGCAGAAATCAGGAGCACTCTCTCTTGGACGGGCCAGGCCACTTGGGACCCTCCTTGCTTTCAGGAGGCAGCACCTGGCAAGTGCCCAGGAAGGGTCGTGCAGAGAGCTCTCTGTCACCCCGTCCTCTGGCCAGTTCTCCAGAGCATGTGCTGTTGGCGTGGGTAGAGGGTTAAACAGAGATGATTCCCTCTCTGGGGGAAGCGGGGAAGGGAAGAGTTGGAGCTAGAGGTCGGAAGGGAGATGGGGTGGCTTCCGACCCTGTGAAGGGGTCCTCTGTGCTGGCTGGTTGTGTAGCATGCCTGACGAAGGGCTGCTGTCTAGACCCCCGGTTCTGCCTCTTCCTAGTCGGGGGCCCTCTGAGTTGCCTTTACTCCACTCTATTTCTCCAGGCCACTCCCTGAGCAGGGGCTGTCTAGACTTTTCAGGCCACCTGGAGCTTTGTTTTAAATTTAAAAGATGTTTGTTGAGCCCTGGCCAAGTGGTTCAATTTAAATATCCAGTCTTACATTTCATACAGGGAGACAGTCCCGTGGCTATCTGAAATTTAATTACCACCGTGATCACATCAAAAGGCCTTTAAGAGATAACAAAGTCACGAGGGCTCCGAGTGGACTCCTGAGTGGACTGACGCTGCTGGGATGGGAGTGGGCGCTTAATGAAGGGTTGAGCTTGGCCCACGTCCTCTCTGTCTCTTACACCCACTCACCCTCAAACTTACGCCAGGGGATGACCCTTGCCAGCTGCTGGCACCATGCTCTTAGAATTCCCACACTTCCAGGACCGCATAAACTTCTGTTGTTCATAATTTACCTAGCAGAAAACAGACCAAGATTCTTAGTGGAGTCAAGAATAGGAGTACACGCAGCTAGACTTGGTTCAAATCTTTTGCCCTGTTCCTATTAACTGAGTGCTGAGGTAAGTTCCTTTGCTTCTCTAAGCCTGACCTTCCTCTACCACAGGGTGTGGCAGTGGTAGCTCCTTAATTGGGCTGAAGATTAAATGATCTAATGCACACAAGTATTTACACTGTGCTGGCATCAGGTAGCACTTAGCTGCGTAAACATTAGCTAATATTTAGCTATCAGAATGGCTTTACAATTCATTGTAGGAGATGCACATTTCCATATGATGTCAAGCAAAACATATCCCTGTCTGTTGATTATAATAAGTCAGTAGTTAATTTTGAGCTTGTGTGGGTAGGGATGGCCTTTCACTTAATGTTCTTCCTTATCAGGATTTCGTATCATAAATGCCCCATCTCTGGATGGCAGAATCCGTCCTAGTTGCATTTCAGAGCAAACGACCCCCAGGGCTTGAGGCTGACTCTGCCTGAGCTTGGGCAGGGAAGAGGGAGGGAGGGGAGGAGGGAGGGGAGGAGGGAGGGGAGTCAGGGCCAGGGCAGCAAGCGTGAAGCTCAGCGCTCCTGTGCAGGCCCTGCTCCTGCTCCAGGCCTCTAGGAGCTCAGCCAGTGTGGTGCTGGGGATCTAAGTGTCACTGCTCTTCAGCCATGTGCTTCCTTCTCTCTGTGGCTCAGACCCTGGCTTCTCTGGCTGTGTTGTTCTCCTCCCTGGTAGAGTCACCCAGATCTCTGGGATCAGAATCACTAGGCAGAAGCTCCTTTGCACACTGCCCGAGTAATTTAGATGGGCATCCAGGCATGGGAGCCAGTGCTGGGGACCTGCAGCCTGCCTCTCTCCTGAGCCTCGCCTGTGGCCCATCCATACTGTCCGCTGACACGTGCGGGACCCTGGGCTCGAGGGTCGTACAGCAGAATAGCCCTGCGGCTATGGCAGGAGCCCGTCTCTCCAGCTCTGGCCTCTCCCAGGAGGGATGCACACAGAGGCCACAGCAGGCCAGATGGTGAGGGCAGGGCGCTTTCTCTCCTTCCCAGTGGGCTGCTGGGCCAGGCAGCCCTCCCGAGTGGCCTGAGGCAGTAGCTCTGCAGCACCTGCAGCAGGCTAGGGAACTGAAATGACAGTCTGGCCCCGAAACACCTTCATTGAGAGGGACCTAAAGACAGAAGCTTTCATATCGGCAGGTCTGCTTCCCATCCCAGAGGTCTAGTTTGCTTGTTCAACATAGCAAAATGCTTCTGACCATCTGCTATGTGCCAGGCACTGAGCGCAGAACTAGAGACACAAAGACCAATCACACATCTCTGAAATGCTTTTGGCTCCTGAAGCGCTGATCAGAGTGAGGCCTGAGGGTGCACTGCTGCAGAATAATCTGGGCTTCCTAAAAATGTAGATGTCCAAACTCCCACCCCACCCAGGACCCAGATCTGCCTTTGCAGAATGTCACAGGGTAGGGCCTGGGCACCTATAATTTTGGAAGACCCCTGGTGGCATCACATTCACTATAAAGTTTGAGAACCTGTGAAAATTAACTACCTAAAAAGAAAAACAAAAGCAGAGAACTATAATGATTCCAGCTTTATGTTCTTTGTATCAAATATATCATAAAAAGAAGGAAATTAAAATCATTTGCTTTAATCCTACCATCCTAAGGTAATCACCCTCAGCATTTTATCGAATGCTCCTGAGTGTGTGTGTGTGTGTGTGTGTGTGCGTGTGTGTGTAGACATATTGTAGAATCCATGGTACCCAACTCTGCAGTAGGCCTGGGAATAGATGAGACGAGGAAAAGAACGCCTCAGCTGCCATGCTCCCGCAGTCATGTGAAGTGATGCCTGGCACAGTCTGCAGCCCAGCTCGGTCACCTGCTCACCTGCTCTTACCTTTTCCCACAGGTCTACATTATCAACGTGACCTGGTCCGACTCCACCTCCCAGACCATCTACCGGAGGTACAGCAAGTTCTTTGATCTGCAGGTGAGTTGGCTGGATCTCAGGTGGTGGCCTGAATCTCTCTGGGGTGCTGGCCCTCTCATAGGAGCTCTCAGAGCCAGAATCTAGGCTGGTACCGGGGAATAGACAAGGGTGGCCTGAGGGTGGAGCCGGGCTTGTCTCTGTCTTGGATGCTGTGTGCAGACACTCGGAGCTTTGTTGGCTTCCCCGGCTGGTTTCCACAGTCATGCTTTGTCACCCTCCTTCGCCTGGGGGGCGGAGAGGCAGAGGATGACTGTGGGTGCTGTGTGCCTGAGCAGACATGTCTGTAAACATCCAAGATGAGACACAAGCCGCCCCATCATTGCAGGCAAAGAAAAGCAAACACACAGAGAAGACTGAAACAGAAACATAAGCAATTTCTTGAACTGCAGACACAAGCTGGGCATACCACTGTGTCTGTCTAACCAAATAAGGCACTTGCCACCCAGTTTGAACATGTGGATGGTGGACTTGTGTCTCCATTTCATGTAAGTGTGTTCCCACAGGAGAATGGCAGTATAGATCCCACAGTTACCATTGCAAATGCCCCCTTAATACCGGCTAATTTCCTTAGGCTTCTTTTAATGACAATTGATAGTTTTACACTCATGCCGGCTCAGGCAAAAATACAACAGGGAACCTTATGCAATTAACCAGACTGTGAGAGGGGCAGGGAGGCAGGGGACTTCAGGCACAACTGAAATGAGGATCAGCTCTCTCCCTAGCTTGTTTCTGCTTCCCTGTGGCATTGTCCTCAGCTTCTGTTACCCAACACTCTACGGGATTTGGCTGTCACAGCTTTTGAATTTCATATTTGTGGCTCTCAACAGCTAAGACACCAACTGTCTCCCAGTTCCAAATTGATAAATCTCAGGGGAGATTTTGATTGGGCTGACTTTGACCATGTGACTTCTCTGGGCCAATCAGAATGGTCAGGGGTAGGAGCTCATGTAGCACAGATATAGCCACTAGGGGGCCCATCCCTATGCATCCGAGGCAAGTGCTGTACCAGAGAAGGGGGAATCGCTGAGAGTTGGGCAGCAACCCTACTACCAGGAAGGGAAACCTGAGATATTCTAGATTCTTCCTCAGGGTGTTTGTTTAAAACACCTAGGAGAGTCCAAACACTGTGTAAGTAACCTGTTACTCTGTATTGTTTAGGAAACAATAACAAGGAAAAAAGTCTGTGCATGTTCAGTACAGACAAAATACGTTTTCAGATATTTTCGAACCACTGTTGGTTGAATCCTAAATGAGACAGAATCTGGTTTAGGCCCACAAAGAAGAGACAACCACTCCTAGTCCTCACAACTAGGGCCTGCCCCCTTGCCTCGGTGGTGGCCTGCAAGCCTTTGGTGGTGGGTTATCTTGGGGACGCAGGTTTGCATGTTTGCCCTGATACTTGATTCTGTCTCCTTGTGCTTATTGTTCTACTTATGAGACAAGCCAAAGGTGAGCTGGCTTCTTGTGTTACAAATCCTCTCTTCATCCAGCTATATGGGGTTGAATAGCCCACTGAAGATGGGATTAAAAGCCACTCCTTGCCCTCCTGCCTTCCTCCTCTTCCCCTCTCAGTTCCTGTCCAGTCTCCGTGAGCCCTTCCAGCGTAAACTGGTTGGATCTGCCGATACCCCATCAATGGGTACAGTGTGCTGGACAGGAAATGGCAACTCAGTTGGGGAAAGGGAACCCTGAAAGAGCTCATTGATGAGCTGGCGGGGGTCTGAAAGCCAGCGCAAACTTCCAGATCAGAACTTTTCTTGCCGCTGTTCTGTTCTGGCCCCCCACCCCCTCCCAAGTTACAGAACCTCACAGGAAAGGAATGCCGTCTCCCTTGCTGTGGGAGGGCCCACTTTCCCACGTCAAGAGGGGCCGCAACTGTGGAGCAGTCCTAGTCTTGCACGGTCGTGAACGCGGCCAGACTTGCCTATATGAGACCTCACCAGCCGATACAGTCAGCCCTCCACGTCTGCAGATTCCACCAATTGCAGATTGAAAATACTGAAAAACTATTTTCTTTTTTTTTTTTTTTTTTTTTGGTTTTTCTCCGGTACCGGGAACCGAACTCACGACCTTGCGCTTGCCAGGCAGGCGCTTTTGCCGTTGAGCTAAATCCCCAGCCCCTGAAAAACTATTTTCATCTGTCCTAGATGTAGTCAGACTTTCTCCTTGTCACTAGTCCTAACCAGTATAGTATGGTAGGTGTTAACATAGCATTTACATTGTATTGGGTCTTATAAATAATCTACAGAAGAGTTAAAGTCTGTGGGAGAATACACATAGATTATGTGCATATACGCTGCCATTTATATAAGGGACGTGGGTCTGTGAGGATTCGGATATTTGTGTGAGTCCTGAAATCCAGTCCCCGAGGATACTGAGGATGGCTGTGGCGCAGCTAGAGAGGGGCTAGGACAGTCCCTTGGAAGGTCACGGTTGAGGAATTGAACATGGCATCTTTGTGAGCTCCTTTGCACCCCGTGATAACTTCTAGCGACATTTGTTCTCATGTTTTATTGTTTATCAAGGTTGCTGGTTTTAATATGACGGCTCCTATAGGCAATGAACAAATGGAATTGCTAACTGTCTTTGGTGTCGGGGTACTTCCTGAGAGGCAGTGTAAGCGTGGCTTAGAGTCAGGTGTAGTGGTTCGGGCCCATAAACCCAGTACTCAGGAGGCTGAGGTCTGCAGTGAAGAGCCACTGAACAGAGCCATTTAGACTGTGAATCATGTATGGGCTGCTCAGGCGCCACTTGGGAATGTACGTGCGGCCTTCATAGAGCAGCAGGGAGTCTGGACACCCCTTGGATGGCCCCAGCACCCCACACTCCTGTGCTCACAAGTTGATTGCTCTGTCCCCAGTGTGGGTGTCTCTATATATTTCCTCTTATTTCTCCCTTTTCAGATGGCGTCTTTTGCCCTGGGTGGAATATAGTTCTCCAGGAGGGGCTTTGGGCCCTACCACACAGTCCTGACCCACCTCTGGCAGCCAGCCGAGGGCCATGTGGTGCATGTAGATCCATTTCTCTCTCTGGGAGGCCAACGGGGAGATGCACTGCACCTGCCCTTCATGTCTGCAGCCAGCAAGTACCTCAAGGGTCTTCTGATCTGAGCAGGACCCCCTCTCTTAAGTACTTTTCTCTCATTGCTGAGACAAAATACCTGATGCCCAAAATTAAGGAAGGAAAGATTTATTTAGCTCACCGTTTTTAGAGGTTTCAGTCTATATCGGCGGGCTCCAAGGCACAGTGGCACATGGCAGAAGGGCAACCGTTCAACTTTTTCCATCTCTTATATTGCATGCAGACTACCTGGTGTAGCACTCACACCCCCACTCCTAACACTAGACAATGAACCAATCACAAACTCTAGATTCAGCTGCCTCTGAAGAGCTCATCCCCCATGACCGCATGAGGCTGTGAGGGGACATCCAGACACAAACCGTAACACCCCCAGACCAGCTTTTCCATTTTGCACTACTGCTGCATCCACTTCAGCATCATACCCATCCCACTCAACTCCTGTGCACACTGAGATGGGAAGCAGGGTGTCACTTGGGGTTTGCACCCTCCAGGCTCTGCTGGGACCTGACTGCTCTGTATGTGGAGCTCCCAGGAGAAACCTGGGCACAAGCTGTCTCTGGTGCCAGGCAGGAGAAAGGTGGAAGCCGGAGGGCTTATGCTTGAAGGAGAGCCAGGGGCCACTTTGAGTGACCCATGGCATCAGCGAACCCTCAAAAGGGCACTCTGGTGGCACATTGGGGAGCTCTTCATAGGATGTGGGACAAGCTGCAGACAGAACAGGCAGAAAGACCAGACAGTGGCTTGCTGTTCCTTCTGCACCCTTGTGGAGCTATGGGGTCTCTGCAGAGCAGATTGGGCCATGTCAGCGCTCCCCTTCCCACATTGCCTCCCACGTCCTCACTCACTAACTGCTGCTGTGGTGCTAGATTGGGGTTGCTAGCTAAACATGAGGCGGCCAGTTCGATTTCTGTAAATGACAGACCCTTTTTGGAAATATAAGTGTGTTCCAGATATTGCATGGGAAGTCCTTACACTAAAAAAAGTCATTGTTCTTTATGTGACGTTCACATTCCACTGTGTGTTTTCATTTGCAAAATCTGCCACCCTACCCAAGCAGCAGGCATGAGCGCCGGGAGGGAAACTAGAAAGATGACCGTCGCAGCTGTCTGGGGCGAGGGTAGGTTGGCCTTTGCACTTGGCCAGCAGAAGTGCACAGGCTGAGGGACACAAAGTCGAGAAGGACGAGTCCCTTCCTGCTGGGGGCCTCTTTCTAGAGACTCTGGGCTGGAGAGGAAGGAAAGGGCATTCTTCTTGGGAAGGGGACAAAGAAGTCTTGATTGAGGGCAGCAGACTGGAGGCACATAGCCACATACCCTCACCCCAGTTTGCGGGGAGTTGGTTGTTTTTGGAGAATCATAATTATCAGGGTTCTGTTTCCAGTTTGTTAGATTTATTCGTCATTCATTCCTACCTCCTTCCTCCCTTCCCCCCACCCTTCTTTCCAGCCACCCAAAAGTAAATGCCCCCTCCTCTGTCCAAGCAGTCGGCCAGACCCTGAGGATACACGAATGAGCAAGTTCAGCTGTGGTCCCTGCTTCCATGGGAGTTACAGCTTCTACTTTTTATAAAGCCCAACAATTAATATGTTATACTCTTCTAGAGGTACCATGAAAAGTGCCAGGAACTTACTATGAGGAAGCCTTACACACCGGGGTAGGGGCAGATTTCCTTGGAGAAGTAACAGAAGAATGCGTTCTTGCATCTAATTTTACTCTTGAGATCAGTGATTGTTTCGTGCAAAGTGAAAGGCTGTCTGCAGACAAATACGTGAATGTACACAAGCCCTCCAGGAAGCCTCTGCGGAGGCTTTATTTTTGTGTTGTCTGATGCCGTGACCACTAGCCACATGTGGCTATTTCAATGTAATTTTAAAATTTAAAAGTTAAATTTCAAAAATTAGGCATATATTTCCTCAGTCA